TTAAAGATTTATTTATTTATTCATGAGAGACACAGACTGGGAGAGAGAGGCAGAGACACAGGCAGAGGGAGAAACAGGCTCCATGCAGGGAGCCCAACGTGGGACTCAATCCCGGGACTCCAGGATCATGACCTGAACCAAAGGCAGGTGCCCAACCTCTGAGCCACCCAGGTGTCCCTGTTTTGATTTATTTTAAAATCAGAAGAAAAAAAATAAACTTTCAGGTCAAAGAATATGTTTTAAGATGTAACATTAATTGCCTTTACACTAGTACGGTTGTAAAATATCCTTTTTCATGTATATTTTCTGTTTTTAATATACTTTTAAATTCTGTGTGTATAATTGCATCATTTAGTTTGAATAATGTATATTTATTTGCATGTGTGCACGTGTGTGTGTGTGTGCGTGCACGTGCATAAGGAATGGTCCACAGAGGCCAAGTTCAGACCACAAAAATCACAATGTAGCCCTGTCCTTGACTTCCAAGCCCAGCTATTGAGTCATTTCTCCTAAGAAGTCATACCAAGAGCCCACCCCCAACAGAACTGTCTCTTCTCTGTGTCTCTATCCATTTCCTTGCTTAGCATATGGTATTATAATCACGTGCTAACCTGTCTTTCCATTAGATGGTGAGCTTCATAAGGGAAGGGCCCAGGATACGGCGGGTACTTGGCAAATGTTACCAAATTCGGTTAAAGCTCCCCGAATGCCAGTGAGGAACAAAGGCCTCCCTTCCTTGGGTCACCCACAACGTACACAGCAAAGCCGTCTCTCTAATCACGTCTTCACTCAGGTGGGGCAGTTACCTGACACTGTCCTAGGCAGCAGAGGTCAGCCCGCTGCAAACGAAGCCGTCATGGTTCTACCCTCACGGGGCTTCTACGGGTAGACCCCTCCTGCCTAAGAGGTCTCTACCCCTTGAACTCTGCCATCGTTTCCCATCCTGCCCCACGAAGCTCCCCCAGGGCAGAGGGGCCAGGAGAGAAAGCAGTGCTAGGGCAGGCCTCCTTCCCCCACCCACCCCAGACCCCCATCCCAGACCCCACTACCTTTCCCGGGGGATCACATTCCTCCTCCGGGGCCCTCCTGGAAGGTGACTACTCCAGCTCCTGGGTGCTCATTAATTTCACGCTCTGTCTCCCGTGTGACTGACCTACTTTTTGCTCTTCCCCCACGTGGCTGCCCAGCAGGTGGGGGCTCCCCACACCTGGGGCTGGGTTTCCCTCAGCCACTCCCCATCCCTGCAGCAGGCTACTCGCAAGGCCCCAGCCCTCCTTACCCCCACCAGAGAGCCGAAGCCTTCTGGCCTCATTCCCCCGCAAACACACACACCACCCCCAGGGGGAAGGTAGGCAACCTTGGATTCAAATCTCAGTTCCCTCCCTCCCAGTCTCAGGGTCCCCAGCCAGTCGTGGTCCCATCTCCTGATGTCCTCCTCTGTATGTGAATCTACCCCGCAGGGCCCTTGCGACGAGACAGCAGCTGCAAAGGGCCGGGTGTCCCAAGCAGAGGCTTTGTCCCTGCCCCATGGGGACCGGCCCCAGCTGGAATTCTATCCTCTCTGAAGGCACCTGGTATGTCCCCCCTGCTCTGCTGGCAGAGGCGCCTGCCTACCCGTCGTCCTGGCCAAGCCCCTTTATCTGCCCCCAGCCCCCTTTGAGGCCCAGCCGGCTGTGCCCCCTTGCCTCCCCCCTGCTCAGGACCCCCCCCAGACCCACACCAAGGCCTGTATTTCTTCATACCACCCCCCGCCCTACTCTGGAGCAGATTTGAGGCAGGGCTTTTAATTGGTAATCCTCATTTGGCATTCATCACAGAGTCTTACATCTGGGCTTTTCTGGGAGAGCCCCAATGTCGAATATCCTGCTTTCCCATTCCCATGACCGCATGGTGGGATAATAAGAATAATAGCTAACATTCGCTGTGGGCTACGCTGCTCAGCTCTCAGGACTCTACACGAATCAACTTCATTACTCCTTGCCATGATTCTATGAAGTAGGTACCCCCGATTTGCAGTTGAGGGACCTGAGGGACAGAGAGGGGAAGAAAACTTGCCCAAGGTGGTGGAGCTGGGATTAGAGCTGAGGCAGGCTGGCCCCAGAGCCCAGCCCTAAGTCATTACCACAGCAGCCAGACTACAGACTGTCGCTTGCACTTAGAACTGGCTTAAAAATCCCTGGGTCAAGAAAATGGTCCCCAGACACTAGATGTAACTTTCCTACTGCAAATGGGACTGATTGTCCTCTCTCAGGTTCCCTTCTCTCAGGCAGGACTTAATGGCAGGGTCCAGGCTTCTAGAACTCCATGCTCTTTCTAGGACATCAAGCTGGAACCAGGGAGCTCTGGGTTCTATGCATACGTCTGGAAGGTCAATGCCTATGCCAGCTCCCAGGAGGCCAGACTACATGGCTGCCCTGAGTGAAGGGGATCATCTAATCCACTTGGAGGCCATGAGGACAACCGAGGACACTGCATCAGGAGTGTGGGACAGTCCCTGGCTCCAGAAGTGCCATGTGGAAATGCAGATGCCAGGCAGGACCTGCCCACTCTGCTGCAAAGTCCATTTAAAAATACAAGTGGTGGGGAGGGTGGGGACAGGGCAGCCAGCACTTGCTCTCCACCTGCCTGGCCCAGCAGCAGGTGCCTAAGCTCCAGGAAAGATGCCTGGACAAGGGTCTGCCCTCCCCATGGGGAGGAGATGCTCTCCAACACCACTTGACTGGAGGGCTAGGGAAGTGACTTTGTATCCAGCAGGCTTCATCTAGTTTTAATAACGCATATTTGTTTCTGATTGTAAAGATAAAACGTGTTTATTGCCAACATTAAGAGAAAATTGAAAAATCATCTATAATCCCTCGATCCAGAAGTAAGAACCTTTAACACTTTGGTGCTTTTTCTCTAAGCCATTCTTCCATACTTAAGTATTTTTACATCATTGGGATTTTAACGGTATCTTGTGCATACTTTCCCATTCTGAGAACTTTCCAAACCATGATTTTTTTTAAAGATTTTATTTATTTACGAGAGACACACACACAGAGAGGCAGAGATGCAGGCAGAGGGAGAAGCAGGCTTCCTGCAGGGAGAGTCTCATGAGAGACTCGATCCCAGGACCCCAGGGATCACCATCTGAGCTGAAGGCAGATGCTCAACTGTTGAGTTACCAAACCATGATTTTTAGTGACTTTCTAATGTTTGATCCTATATAGGACGTCTCACGATGTATTTAACTATTCACTTCTTGGATGTCTAGGTTATTTCTGAGACACTCCATTTCAAAGCTGCAGTGGCTATTGGAGCAAAAGACTATACTTTCCAGTCATAAAGGATCAAAGGCTTAAACGAACGAAGAGGGTCGGTCCAGATGCTTAAGACTCTTGAGTAGCCAGGGAGGGGATTTTGGCCCTGACGCTGTGGTCGCCAGTGGGGTGGAGGGTCAGGAGTTGGCCGTCAGAATGTTGTTTGGACTCTTCTAAGGCAGGTGCTGCAACCTTGGCCTTCCTGCGGGCTGGTAAAGGGGCACTCCCGCCACCCGGGCCTGGCCTAAGGGACAAAGCACTGCAGCAGCCCCGGGGAACTTGCCAACCAAGCTTCCCTGGTGGTGCAGGGCTGAAAGAGGCACTCGCTCCACTTTTCACAACATTCAAAGGCAGAACTGTCAAAAGCTGGCCCCCAAATGCTCATATTATGTGGGAGAAAGTCTTGGGGAGAAAATGAGGAAGGAGGGGAATTATGCAATTGAAAACATGTACGAATCCAGACAGAATAATGAAGCACAGACACAAGATTTTGCACTCAATGGAAATTGCATTTAGCCATGTTTTGTGGTTTGAGAAAAAGAGAGAGACTGACTCAGAGAGGCAGATGGAGACACACGGGGTGAGGAGAAAGAGAGGGGAAAAAAGAAAAGAGAGATGCAGAGAGAGAGAGTCCTCACAGCCAGCTGGAGTTCCACGGAGGGGAGGAGAGGGAGCAGCCACGCGGCTTTGTCTTCTCCCTATGCCAGTCCTCACCTGGGCCAGAGGGAGACCAGGAGACTCCCCCCTCCAATCTGGGGGCTTGGGATTGTTTTCCCTATATTTTTTGTATATTTTCTGGACGTCCAAGTTCTTAAAAAAAAAAACAAAACAAAACTGTACCCACCCCCGGCCCTGTGGAGTACTACTTAACAATAAAAAGGAACCAGCTGTGGATAGAGACAACAACCCAGACAGAGGGCAAGGGCATTATGCTGAGTGAAAAAAGGCAATCTCAAAAGGTTACAGACTGTGGGATTCCATTTATATGACATTCTAGACATGAAAACAATGACGGGAACGGAGAAGATTCGCGATGGCCAGGGCTTCGAGAGAGTGGGAGGAAAGTCCGTGATGTAAGAGTCAAGGGCAGCATGAGGGAACTTTGTGGTGATGGGATGTTCTGTATCTCAGTTACAATGGTGGTGACATAAATCTATACGTGTGACAAAATGACACAGAACTGTACCCACGCATTGTACCAGTGCGGATTTCCTGGGTTTGATTTGATAGGTACCCTTTTGGGGGGGAGAACCTGGAGGAAGGGTCATGTGACCTCTGTGCACTATTTTTGGCAACTTCCTACGTATCTATAATTATTTTATAATAAAGAGTTACCCTCCAAAAGTTAGCAAAGAACAGATCGCATATTATACTGATAATCAGAAAAGGTATCTCAAAATGCAAAGTGCCACACAGCTGAAAGCTAAAATTGAAGACACTGTGTCGTGACCTAAGGGCTCTAATCCACATAGAAGGGGTGCCTGGGTGGCTCAGTGGTTGAGCGTCTGCCTTCGGCTCAGGTCCTGATCCCGGGGTCCTGGGATCGAGTCCTGCATCACGCTCCCTGCATGGAGCCTGCTTCTCCCTCTGCCTGTGTCTCTGCCTCTCTCTCTGTGTCTTTCGTGAATAAATAAATACAATCCTAAAAAAAAAAAAAATCCACATAGAAATTCTTGCGTAAGCAGAACAAAAATCCTCCCAAGCTTTGCACAGTGGCAGGATTGCAGCAAATGCGGTTTCTCCCAGGTGCAATCATTGCTATTTGAAAACTTTCCCCAATACCCTGCGGTGAGGACTTGAAATACGGTCAGCACTGGCAATATTTGACAGTCTCTACGGAGACTATTTTAAAAAAAAAAGGCAGAAACCCTCTCTGAGAAAAGGCCAAACAGAGACCAATTAGAGGATGTAGAGAGAATATGGTTGAGAGAGAGTAGGGCACTCAGCCTCTTCCTGGCTGTGTGACCTTGGGCAAGTCACTTCACCTCTCTCAGCTCTGATTCCTCATCTGTAAAATGGGAAGAACGGGACTGCACTGTAAAGACGAAGCACACAATTCCTTCCTCCAAGAAGCCACCAGCAATGACAAGTGCAATGGCTGGCAGGGACCCTGCCTTCACCTGCCGGGACCCGGAAGAGAGGTGGACAGTGAAAGGGCCCTTAGGAGACCCCCTTGTATGACACCAATCATGCTATAGAAACTCTTTTGTGCTGCCAGTCATGCTATAAACCCCACTAAAGTTGGGGGGAAAATACCCATTTTTTTCCCTGAGAAGGTCTTTCTGGGATTACATTTATCCCTTTGAGGACATTTTAAGGGATAGCAGTGAAAGAAAAAGATGCTATGGCTTTAAAACACAGACAAAACCAGTAATTCCATTAGTATTTTTGAATTGTAAAAGATGAAGATAAATCTGACTGCTATGGTAACTGTGAAACATGAAAGATAACACAGGCTTTGAAGCACAGCCGCACTGGCAGGTGGGGTCACCTCTTCTGAACGGGTCACGCAGGTGGGTGAGCATGCGTGGGGTAGACTGAGGGGGCTGAGTTCTGGGGAGCAGAGGGGAAGCTCCTCGTGGCCTGGACCCTAAGATCTGCTGGCGGAGACTCTGAGAACCCCTGTGCTTGAGTCCAACCCTATCATTCAGGGGCCAGACCCCCAAAAGGTGACCTAGGTGCCCCATTCTCAGGGTAGCAGCGTAGGATACGCTTTTGGAAACGTATCAGCGTGGGGACCGAGGCTGGCTTCAGAGCAGTAAGAACATCTTAGTGACACTTTTCAGCTGCTTCTTTTGCTTCTCCCAGAACCCTCCATCTTGCCTCCAGATCCTTCCATCCAGGGCCCCGCCTGGCGCCCAGTGGAAGGTCAGCCGTCCACCGCTTGAGTTCCTCCAGTGACAGCAGCCCACGCCTTGTTGGACAGCTCCTGTCGTCAGAAAGCTCTCCCCGCCAGCCAGGTGTGATGTCTCTGACCCAGCCAATCGACCCCACACACAGCCTGTCATTCCACCATTTGAATTCCATTCCTGTACATTTTAAAGATGAAAACATCTTTGTGAGTCCCTTGTTGAAATTCAAATATGGCCATGAACACCTAAAGCCCCGCATCAGTGAGGACCTTTGAGGTGGAATGTTGGCAGGGAGCCCTGTGACAGAATGACTTGGGACAGTCAGGGGGCAATGAACCGGGAGACTGGGAGGCCAGGAGGCCCAAAGAAGCCTTATTCAGGGGGGCTCTCTTGTCCTCCAGAGCCTGTGTCTCCTTGGAGAAGAAAATAGAAGCTTCCAGAAGGGCAGGTTCCTTCGTTCCCCCTATCTGCCTGCCTGGCTGCTGGAAACAGTCCTCTTCATAGGCAGAGGGTCTCCACTCTGGGGAGATCCAAAGGATCCAGAGACCTCTGGTCAAGATGGTACTATACGTTCATGTTCTGAATCCCACCTCCATGCATTAAACTTAGAGCAATGATTAAAGAAAAAAAAAAGATAAATTCAAAACAGGAAAAGTCGTGCTCAAATCCAAGATAAACATTTTTAAGGCCCAGAAATGTAAGAGACACCCAAGGGGCTAGGTAACATGGAAGCTAGAGATGAGGGTGCAGAAGCCGGGGGAGCAGCCAGAAATTCAACTCCCTTGGGGGGCTGAGGGGCTGAAGGACCCCCAGGTGGGGCCGGGGCCAGGCTCCACTCAGGTTCCGTGACCGGACGTGTGACCCCTCGGCATGAGGCCTGGTTCTGGATGAGGGGCCCCAGGAGGCCGAGGTGTCTTTGCTGTGGCTTTCGTGCTTTCTCTTTATCCTTGCTATGTTGTAGGTTCACTACAGCACGTCTGGGTGTGAATTTACTTCTCCTTGCTCCGTTCAGCACTGAGCTCTCGTGTCTGTCTTTAATTCTGGAAAATTCTCAGCCTTATTTTTTTTAATCTTGCTTCTTCTGCACTCCCCGTGCCCTCCTGGAACTCCTGTATGGCATTCTGTAGACCTAAACTTCTTCACTGCTTGGGGGCATACAATGCAAGTTGTTCCCCAGTATCTATTTTCCCCCTTTTCCTTAGAAATAGAATCTCTGACTTGTAACTAGGCCCACGGCCACTTGGAATAATGACTATACTTCTTCCTTTTATCTACTTAATGGATAAATAACTGGGTTCTGCCCAATGGGTAAAAGCATGAGTCTCAGGGAACTTCCTTGGAATGTCTTTAAAGCAAAGGCGTGTGTGCTACCCTCTGACCTGCCCTTCCTCCTGCCATCTGGAAAATGCACGAGATGGCTGGAGCTTGGTGGAGTCATCTTAGACCTTAAAGTAGAATTGAGATAGAAGGTGTCTCCATGACGTTATGAGGTTGCCCTAAACTTCCTAATGTTGGGCCACTACTCCATGAGCGAGAAATGGATTTGTATCTTGTGTAAGCCACAGTTATTTTCCTGTCCTTAGTTTGGGTTTCCCCAAAATGGATCCCAAGACAAGGATTGGGATGCAAGTCATTTATTTGGGAAATGAGGCCAGGAAGCGCAGTGAATAAGTGGGGAAATGAGACAGAGGAGAGATATAGGATTTGACATGAGCAGGTTCCTGTTGGGAGTCACTGAGGTCCTATTGGGGGGGGGGGGCTATGGGAGATTGTGTGAAATAGGCTGCATAATTGTCCCACTAAGGGGCAAGGAAGGTGAAGCATTTATCCATTAACATTAGTTAATGTCCCCTATTGCTTGAGGGTCTTTCCTGGGGCCAATGCCCCAGCAACTCTGCCCACCCTTTGTGCAAGCTGAGCAGGCTCCTGCAGCCAGACAATGCTCCCAGGTGGAAAGGCCAAGGGTGTGGTCCTGTACAGAGCGGTCTTCAGGTGAGTGCAAGGATCAGCCAAGGGAACAGGGGCACCCATCAACCCGGGCTGCAACCTCTCTGCGGCCCATAGAGCCCCTCCGACTTCTCCACTGCCCTTTATCCCTGTTGCATCTTAGGTGAGATCCCCAATTCTCTCTTCCAAATAATGAATCCTATCTTCTAGTGTGTCCAAGCCAGATTTATTTTGTCTCCCCAGTTAATTTCCATGACTGTATTTCTCATCCCCAGAGTTTAGAAATGGTTTTCATTTCTTCCTGCTTTAATATTATAATTTGTTTCTCTTTTTATGGGTGGATGTTATTTGAAGAGCTTCAACATCGATTTTGAAGTTGTTTTTAGATAATTCTTTTACTTGTTTTTGTCTGTAGTGGAGTCATTCTACCAGTTACTGATTTTGTTGGCATTATCAGCTTTAGCTTTCCTCGTGTGTTTTGGAATTTTAGTATGTAGTCTTTTTGTAAGCGAGATTAATTTTTCTCTACATAATCACCCTGTCTTGTGGTTTGATGGTTTCTCCTCAGGCCTCTGGGGCCTCATCCATACCACATTTAATGCCAATGACTCAAGACTCCCACGCTGTGATGCTAGTGGGGTCTCAGATGTCTAGTCACTAAGCCTGAGTGGGGTTTGGCCCAAGCTGCAAGTGGGTCCCCTTCCATGTAGAGGAAAGACAGTTACTCATTTATTAATCCAATAAATATTTATTGAGTGCATTCTTTGAGTCTGGCCTGTTCTAGGCATGGGAATACAATAATGACCTAGACAACTAAGTATAAAAAAGTCTAACATTTATCACCACTGATTGGTGCCCTTACAGAAACATAAAGCAGAGTTAGTGACAGAGGGCAGGGGTTCATATATATATATATATTAGGTGAGTTGTTCAGGGAAGGCCTCTCAGCAACATCTGAGCAGAGAACTGGATGAAGTCCAGCAAGTCGCGCACAGATCTGGGGCAAGAGCATCCCAAACACAGAGAAGAGCAAGTGCAAAGGCCCTGAGGTAGAAGTGTGCTTGCTATATCCAAGAAACATTAAGAAACCCAGGCATCCAGCAGAGGGAACAGAGGGAGTAGGATAAGAAGTTCCTCTGGAGAAGTAGTCTGGGACCAGTTCCTACACATGGGGCCTTGGTGAAGCACTGTGCTGGAGCCAACTCAGACGGGCTCTGGAGCACTCATTGTCCAGTGATGTCATACTGGAAGCTTGAAACTGGCCTTGGAGGGAGAAGGCATTCTACAATTAGCAAATGCTACAAATCGGGGCTCCCCACCCCTGAGAGCCCATTATTAAGCATTTACCAGCACGCCACTGCCTGTAGGGTTGGTAAGGAATTTGTTCTAATTGGGATAAGAAGCCATTGGAGGGTTTCGAACTGGGGAATAATGTGGTCTCATTTTAATACAATCACTTAGAGAACAGACCGTTAGGGGTGTAAGAACAGAAGCAGGGAAGTAGATTAGGAAGCTATTGCAGCAGCCCAGGTGAAAGGGGCTGGGAATTGGTGCAGAAAGATCACAGGAGAGGAGGCGGTTTTAATTCTGCCTCCTAATTCCTGGTCTTACCTCCCGTAACATCCTGGGTGGCCTCTTTCAATAGAGGGATTTCCACTGGCTGGTAGCAACCTATTTTCCTGGAAAGACGGTGGGCTTTGCAAGCAGAGGGCCCGGATTCAAATCCCGAATCCACTTCTTCATAGTATCCCTTGGGGAAAATTAATGTCTCTGAGTCACAGCGCCTTATGTGGAACACTGAGATAATTAATACCTGACAGAGTGGCTGGTAGGGAGTGTGAAATTCCTGTTTATCCTTTCCCGGGGCACAGCACCCGGGGTCCCTCCCTCTGTAGACCCCCGGATCCCTCTGCTCCTTGAAGCCGTAATGGAAGCGCTGGTCACCCGGCTCCGGGGCGGCCTGCTGAGTTCTCCCGTTCCCAGGTGGGCCACCAGTGCCACCTAGTGTCCTATCTGCTTCCTGCAGGCCAGCCTTTTCCATAG